CGTGTCTATGTCGGCAGTGCACCTGCGTGTATATCACTTGACGTTGTGCAAGTCCCACCGAGGATCTGGATGCAATCTCAAAGCACAGAGGGACGGACAGGCCCCGCAACGTAGTTGGTGAGCACCATTTACCATGTATACGAGAACTGCCAAACCAGATTCGTTCAACTGTTTGGTGTGACGTTTGAAGACTTGGCAAAAGCATCATTTGGCAGGCATGCTAGTGACCTGGCGATCTTCCAAAGTCACACCCATAATTTTACCACATACTCGATGGAAGAAGGATTAAATCTTCCAAATTTGTGGCTAATGTTAGTAAGTAATGTCTTCACGGTGAACTTCTAAAAATAACAGAACTCTAAAATGCAGTTAAATATCATTAAATGACCAGACCGTAGCTTACGGGTGTGACCCACCTACGCAACGGGAACATTGCACACATCCATTGCAAAAGTTCACAAAAATGACGCAACTCAATTAAAACGTTTCTTGCGAATGCATAAAAATTTGATTTAACTTCGTGAGGGAGATATGTGCTAGAAAGCCTCAGCCGTACCTTTTGAACGACAGTTGGCTGTAGGCATGCATTTTGTGATTCTAGATTTATTCCCCGTATTATGACGTTACTTTTGAACGTTTTGCTGTCAGATATCAGTCCCGGAACTTGAAAGCTCGGGTTTTCGTTTTATAAACCTGCAGCACGGTATACTGATATTCTTCAAAAATCAGTGTTGTTTTTCCTCTTACGGTTACTCCAGTTTTGAATGTGCAGTCCTGGTAGTCCATTATCTAGGCCGCTCGAATTCGCGTATAATTTCTAATTATCGGCTTGGTATGAGTTTTGCTAGATAATGGCCCATAAATTATTTTATCGTTACTGCTATCGTCAATGCATCAGCGTCTTCGGTCCGAGTGAGGGGACTGTTACAGAATGTGCCTTCTCGCTCTCCGTCCTTTTATCAACATACACTTCAGTCTGCCTCATATTTCCCAACGATTCGCTACTGGGACCGCGTGAAGCTTGTCACTAGCCTGCCTGGATCTCTCAGCCTACCAATGCTGTCCCTTCTGCGATTGGCTGAAGTCGTTTATCGGATCTGCTGCAATTGCGGACAAATCAACTACATCGGAGAAACCGGAAGACAGCCCTGAACGCGAATGGCCGAACGCACTGCAGCGGTGCGGAGAAATGACGCTGGCTCTAAGGTTGCGGCTCATTCGACGAGATCCGGCCGCACATTCACATCTGGTAATGCCGAAATTCTCGCATGAGGTGACGATCGCGTGAGCCGAGAGCTGCTTGAATCATGGTCTACTGGCCTCCAGTTCATTTACAAGTACAATGATCGTCCCATTCCATACTCGGTGCTGAGACTTCGCCTAGGCGGAATAATTGGCCAGGCGGGTAGCGAACATGTGAACACTTTTCACAACTCTTGTGTCGCTGGATCAGATGGTCGAGCATTCATTACACCAACACCCAACGCGCGTGATGTAATTGCAGTAATTAAGGACGTGAATGTCGGCCCGTTTATAAATTGTAAACCGAGCAGTCATTTCAAACTCTTTCGTTCACGGTGTACCCCGTGAAAGCAGATAAATTTATTGGCTTTATGTTTAATGAGATATGTTTGGAATGGGATCCTTACATTTTTCGGTAGGCCATGTACACAGTTCCCTGGTGTTCATGTTTAAGCAGCTAGTGGCTCGTATCGTACGATATACGATTTTATTAAATCCGGAAGGTAAAGGTCATACATTTAGAGGACAAAGATTCCGCTAACATTGCGAGTTATACTTGATGCGGTCCTGTAGTCCCTGAACTGTTGTCAGGCAGACTGATACGTCTAATCCTTCAACGAAGTTTTCGGAAGTTATTAATGTTCCAAAAAGTATAAAATGCGTCTGCGCTCACACGTATCGTAAAATGCAACTGCATATATGCCAGGATGACCGATCAATGTATAGAATTGCTCGCAGCTTGGGTAAACATTCTATATAATCTGTTTGAGGTGAATGAAAGTGCGTAAATGACTTGCATAACGTAAGCTATCATTTTACACATAAAAACCTCGACTAAGGAGTATTTTTTACCGGGAAACAAATTTTGCATTCAGTGCAAGTAGGTAATAGAATAAGCTTGCAAAAAGGTGGTCTATTCGTCAAATTCAGACAAAGAACGCTTGGATATACTAGGATTTAAGTTGCTTGCTTGCTTTTAATGAGGCATCGTACCAATTAAGTCAAATGACAGAAACTGATCATCCGATTTCACCAGTAGGCGCGAGAACACATTCTAGAAAGATTCATTTTTTGTGGCCAATTGATGGGTGAGTTAAATTGGTCTGTGGTAGTCCGCGCTTCCGTCGGTCTGCTCAGTTGCCCATCTGTCCGCCTAAAACTCCCCTTCTATGCCCTTCTGGGACCGCGCGAGGCTTATCAATTGCCTCACAAGTGCTCAAAGCCAATCAACGCTGTCCCCTTCATTGACTGATTGGCGGACACTGGCACAGAGCGCAGAGGGCTCATAACCCCAACGGCGGACACCGGACAAACAACTGGCCTGGAGAGATGTGGCAGTTTGCTTCTCCTTGCCCTCAGCCTTTGTCACGCTGCCTTTCTGTCCGCCTCACACTCCTTGGCGATACGTGGCTAGGAAACGTGAGACTTGTCAATAGCCTCGTCAGTTCTTTAGGCCAATCAACGCTGTCCCCCTCTGATTGGGTGACGGACGCGGAGACAAAGAAGGACGCACACACGCACTGGGTCTGAGCACCTTGAAAGCGGACACAGACAACACCTTGCTTGGAGCGCGTTCGCGGTGACTGCCTACAGAGCTTTGTGTGCGCACTTCCATGACAGTAAAGGTCCAACTCATTCCGTCTTCCCTGAATTTTGATTGGGAATCTTTGTCTTGTCGACCACATCAACTTTCGACAAGGCAGCTTGCGGCAACTGCTTGCACAGCCGCTTGTTTTTTCTTACTCGACAGTAGAATTGCCCAGGCCTGAATTCTGAATTCGGAATCCTTCTGTCGTCGGAACTTCCACCATTCGAGAGGTCCATACTTGTTAATCTTGATCGTCCGTGCGCTTACTTTGACGTTTACTACGTCCTCAGACACCAGCGACAAATTTTCACATTCAGAGTGCGGGATTCTATTGGCATAAATGGCGCAATTTAGAAAATATGCAAGCGATATCCGGAAGATTTGGGGACTGTGAATCACAGACATTTATATTTGAAGGATACGGCTGTCAGATACCACAGTTAGTGACCATGAAACCTTGGCCGACTTGCTGAATTTCGTTTAAGATTTAGAAGGATTGCTTAGGTGAATTTGTAATATTCATTATCTCGCCATCCAATTCTTTTGTATTTTGTAATTTGACGAGATGATTGCTTTTGAATGCACTTCTTTTCGACGTGCTGCGGAAATAACAATCGGTAAAAATGACTACTTAAGCAGCATGCATTCTTCATATTGATTTTCGGTGACCATATAAATTCAAATATAGTTGATAGAAAACAGGCAAAAAATGATTATTTTACTCATTTAACAGAATATTACGTTGGCTTTTCATGGTATAGGCGACAAAAGCGTATATTCAGGTTTCACGAAGTTTTTGAGTAGGATATTTTTGGGAGCGCATCGCACACGACCGTTTACAAATGCCCCTCGTAAAATGTACAAAATAATCCGTACCCATTGTACATTTCTTAGGACTTCTATATATATTATAAATATGGATATAAACGAAAATGCTGACCCCAGGTGTAGAAATGGAAGAAGGAGATAAGGCGTTCTCTGGGGATTTAATCATCTGATGTTTCGTACTCGTACTCGAGCACATCCTCGGAGACAGGCCAAATGAGAAATACATGGTTTAATTAGGCCATTCGCGCTCGGCCTGATAGGTCGATCCCGCTCTCATCTTATTGGCATCCTTTCGCTCGCAAGTGGTGCCTAATGGCCTCGTATGGCGCTGGTACGTCAATACTGCGGTTAATCGAGTTGGCGGCTGATTGCCAGGCTTCGATTACTTCTCTCGCCAGCTTGCTTTCGGCTCGGCTGAGCACTTTGGCACCGTCAAAGTCGAACACCTGATTATTTTCTAGGCTGTGCATGGCGACGTGCGAGCGTACATCCTTTCGCTTTACGGCTAAGGCGTGCTCATGCACGCGCTTGCGCAGTCGTTTTTCCGTAATGCCACAGTAGTTGGCCAGACAGTCTAGACATTTGACGCGTTAAATGACGCCCGACGTGTCTGCAGGCGGTAGCCGGTCCATGGGTAGCATGAGTAAGCGGCTGATGGTGGCCTCAGTTCGGTGTCCAACGCCCAAGCTTAGTGGCCTTAGCATGCGCTCAGTGGCTTCGGAGACGTTTCTCACGTAAGGCAGGACACGGAAGGTTGCAGGAACTTGCGTGTTCTCACGGTCGGCACTCGTATGTCTTTCGCATAAGCATTCGTTTACGAAACTGCGCGGATATCCATTGGCCAGGAAGAGGTGCCATGAGGTCTCACGGTTTTGTAATGGAGAATTTTCTCCGCGTTTGTCGCATTTCGAAAGATACCAGTCTGGAGGGTTCCGTCTTCCTCCCTCGTTACCTGAACGTCGAAAAAAGGAAGCACTCCGTCTTTTTCTTCCTCAATGCTAAATTGAATTTGTGGGAAGACCGAGTTCAATTGCCGTTTTAAAGTTGTATTTCGCGTCCCGGTGTAAGATGACAAAGGTATCGTCCACGTAGCGTATCCAGAACTTCGGCTTGTAGGACTGAAAGACTCGAGCTACCAGTTCCTACATGATCGCCTCAGCCAGATAGCCGGAAATCGGGGAGCCCATTGGGGTTCCCTGGATTTGCTCGTAAATTTGACCATTAAAAGTGAAGTAACAGCGCAGGCAGTAGTTCAGTAGTTACATCACGTGCTTCCGCTTAAACGAGTTTCCCTCTTCGTCGTAATTTGGCCTTTCTGCACAACTGCCTGAGGTCGGACATTATGCCGAGGAGCGTTTCTGTAAGACCACCAGCTAGAACTGACTTTGGCCGCGAGGTTGCCTGGAGCTGCAGCCGACGCATACTGAGGACCCTCAACAACGAATGTCACATTTGTCTGCGCAAATACGACAGGAAAATCGAAAGGGAGAAGGCGGCATTTGCAGCATACCTGGACGAGCAAACAATGCGATACCTGGAGAGCTGGATCTTGATTAAGGTGAACGAGGAGCGAGACAAGAATAAGACCCAACTCCTCAGCAAAATGCGTAACCTAAAACAAGCACAAGCACCCGTGCGCGAACCGTCAGCCGTCCTCAACCTGTCATCTAAACGGCTGCCAGACCACCAAATTAAAATGCTTCAACATAAATCCGGCTACAACACGGGAGACGCACAGCCAGTAGATTTTATCGCTGCACTTGAACTGGCCCTCTCAAATACGGATGCCGCAGAAGACACCAAGAACGCGATTCGCCAGCGAGTCGCATCCCTCATCATATCCCATAGGCCATGCCGAACCGTCACCTCAGCGGAGTTCAAGGCCATAAGGGAAAAAAAGAATGACGAAGGAATTATCATTGTTCCAGCGGACAAAGGTCGGGCAACCGTGGTCCTAGAGAAGTCAGATTACGTGACGAAAGCCCGAGAGCCACTAAACGACAACCAGTCATACAGTACCTGTGCTAACTCATGAAATGCCGAGGTCAAAATTAAAGTGGACAATGTAGTGTATTTTTGGTGTCGTTATTTGTGTATATTTGGTTGAAATAAGGACGAAAAGTCCGTTTTCTGAAGGAAAGTTTGATACGGATCTGTATATTAAATAGAAAACGGGCCGGATTAAGGCGAAATCGGAGGATTCCTGATATTCAAGCAGTTTCCTACGCTATTAAAGCTTTCGGATTGAAATTCTTTGTGTAACCTTATTAATCTGTTTAAGGAGATTAATAAAAAGAGGAAATTTTTTGATAAACTGTCGAACAAAAAGAAAAAATTAAATTTCAATATCAATCCTATCGAAAATCTTTTTGGAATAGTCAAAAGAAATTGGCACAAAGCTAAGAAGACTCTTTCAATGCAGGAAAAATTGGATTTCATACTCAATAATTACATTTTACAATCCACCATAGATAACCTTGTCATGTCTATGTCGGACAGACTTTCTGCTGTTATTAATTCGAATGGACAATCTACAAAGTACTAATTTTTTGTATCTGTTTCTGTCCTTAATTATTTTTGACCTTTTATGCGCCCTACTCCTTTATACGTCCTCATACGTAGCCTTTATTAACTTGGTTGTAATATAGGCGTTTCTCGAAAATGTGACTTTTGTCGAAAATTATTTATTTTTATCTCAGTAAATAATATTTTCTTAACCAAACTTTGCTTTATTTCTTTGGCACATCGTTTATTTTCCGCTGTCATACTTTGGGAGCCGTAGTGTTTACCGATTTTGCGTTAAAGGCGTTAACCTGTGTTAATTCGTGACATTTCATGAGTTAGCACAGGTACTGTACAAATTCGTCGAAACCGACCGCATGGAAACACAGGTAGGCAAAATTAACAAGAGCCTTAACCAAATGTGGAACCAAAAGGCAATATCCGAGAAAGATTGGAGACAGATAAAACAGCAAGACGCTGCCATAGCGCGTTTCTATGGTCTGTCGAAAATCCACAATCCGAATAATCCCCTACGACCCATTGTGGCGCTGAAAGGCACGCCTACCTACGGACTGGCTAAATGGCTCGCCAAGCATCTTGAGAGACTAAGGGACGGCTCAGATCACACAGCCGTATCTTTAACACACTTCCTGGAAAAACTCAAAGAGGTTGTAATAGCTCCCGACGAGGTAATGGTATCCTGTGACGTCGTCTCTTTATTCATCTCCATCCCGAAATAATTGGCCATGGAAGTGATCAGTGACCTACTGGAGAGAAAGTACGACCAAGAGTGGAACCCGTTTAAGCGGAAGCACGTGATGGAACTGCCGGACTACTGCCTACGCACTTAATTAACTTTTAATGGTCAAATTTACGAGCAAATCCAGGGAATCTCAATGGGGTCCCCGATTTCCCGCTATCTGGCTGAGGCGGTCATGCAGGAGCTGGTGGCTTGAGACTTTCAGTCCTAAAAGCCGAATTTCTGGATGCGCTACGTGGGCGACACCTTTGCCATCTTACGCCGGGACGCGAAAGACAACTTTAAAACGGCAATTGAATTCGGTCTTCCCACAAATTCATTTTATCTACGTATATAATCAGCGAATAAAAAAGGAAGATGAGGGTCTGCAGCGCAAACCTGTGACGCAGTTTTCATAATTAGGAATTTTAATCTGGGATACACACTTCCTGGACGGCCGACATGCAGTTTGGAAGAGATTTCGCCACTGTGCTAATGGCCTCCCACTAGAACAAGACGACGAAGAACTCTAGGTGATGCGCGGCGGCAACACCTTATGAGAGTACAATATGCACACACGTATTGTATGACCCATCTTATTAAACGTTAACCAAAACCCTAAAATAAGTTTTTGAATGAAAGTAGAAATATGATGTGGTTGTTCTATGGACTATTGGGCGACACAATCCCAAAATATTTCATTCTCTCCAGGATGCCGACTTTTAACTAAACTCTCAAGGCGTCTGCAAAGACCGCGTTTGGAAAACAGAAAATACTCACTTCATTGATTGTTGATGTTCTTATAAATTCAAAAGCGTTTCATAGAAAACATGTCCAAAAGTATCGTTTTGCGTTACCGTATTAGCACAAATGTGAGGTGTTCTTAATCCCGGAAGACTTACGTGCTGTTTTCTATTTACACCTCGCAATATGTGGTCGTCCGAAATAATGTTTACCTCGGCCTACAGCGATAGACTTCATTTTATGTTGCCCATCCATGAAAACTCCCTCTAGAATCCCCCAGATGTTTACGGGGACCATGTTTCGATTTATGCATAAACTGCTCCACGGCTAAAACATAGACTGAAGTCAAATGATGTTATAAGGATTACTAAAGTCCATCATGTGCAATAGGGCTTCGTCATATATACAAATTGACGGAGTCGCAATGGGTAGTACACTCGGGCCGACCCTCGTCGATATTTTTATGGGTTACCTAGAAGAAAAGGTGTCATCAGAATTAAACATGACAACATTATACAGCAGATACGTGGATGATATATTCACGATTGTTGACAACAAGGAGGACGCCTCCTACCTTCTTTGCCTGATGAATAATCTGCACGCTAAAATCATATTTACGATGGAAATGGAGCAGTTTAACAAGTTACCCTTCCTGGACGTCCTCGTGTTTACAGAGGATGATGGTTCAATAAGACGCTCCGTCTTCCACAAGATTACGTGGAAAGAGCAACACTTGCATTTTAAAAGCTTTGCGCCAATACAATGGAAACGTAATCTAGTACATATTATTTTTCGAAGAGCGAGCAATATTTGCTCCAGGGAAACCATATATACAGAAACTATGCGAATCAAAGAAGGCTTACTTAATCGTGGTTTTCCTGCACGCTTCATTCAGAAGTACAGCAACCATTTACGGCCAAATTTGACGGAACAGTCCGTTCCGAAGAAGCCCATTATAATATGTCTACCTTTTAAGGATGACGACGTCTCAAACACAATCAAGCGACGCTTGCGTTGCACTATAGAAAGAACGTATAACGCAGCAGAGCTTATCTTCATCAGTTCCACAAAAAGCCTTCCAATTAACCAGGCAAAGGATGCCTTGCCAATGCACGTCACCCCAAATTGTGTGTATGAATTCACATGCACTTGCGGATGCAAGTACATTGGGCGAACGCAAAGGCAATTGGCAACCAGAGCCGCTGAGCAGTTGCCTAATTGGCTTTTCAAACAGGAAAACAAAACCCCCCTTTCGTCTGTAACGAAACACCTGTTAGATAGTGGTCATGTTGTCGACCCTATAGCATATTTTCGAGTACTTGTCCGAGCGCATACAACTGCAACCTTGAGTTATTTGGAAGCAGCTTACATACGGAGGTAGAAACTAGGCCTTTGAAAGCAGTTAGCTCACGTGATCAATCTGCAGTTGCCCTGGTAATCTCACGCCTCTTGTTTCCCCTGACTGTGATTTGTTGTTAACATTTCGTCGCACTCTTTCCTATATGATGCTTATGTGGACGTCTTATCTAATTATTCATTACCTTGAACCTTTACCTTGCTCTTATGCACTGTCATTCTGTACAAATTCATACTGCTGTGCGCTTTCATTCGTTTCCTACGTTATGCAGACACGGGCTGCAGTTGAAAAGCCGTCACGAAATTTATTGGCTCCAATAAATTGTGCTTTATATGCTTTTTTTCAATAATGATTAACTACATTCTATAAATATAGCTTTGTTGCCAAAATGTATTCTCGTTTGGACATTGGCCCAGCTGATTATTTCGGCACCGAGTATCGGTCACGTACGTACAGCAGAGTTCCGAATATGCTGAAAGATTTTGCTACAAAAATTTTATTATGCCTGCTTACAAAATAGGTGGCAAATCGAAACCAGTTTTCTGATAGGCTTACATGTTATTAGTAGTGACATATCCTGTAATAATTTGTCAAAATTACTGTTACTTTAAATGCTCACGGTAGCATTTTTATCTCATTTGCGTTCCCTGCTTTCGAAAATTAAGTCGAATAAATTTTTGTTATGATTACTTACACGAGCTCCAGTTGAGGTACAATAAGATTAGCCTGCAATAAATAATGAAGTGCTAAAAATATAGTTCCAATTATTTACACACTGACATTGTGGTCAACTCTGAAATGTTGCCTAAAAATCGCAGACGTCCGCGGACGTCCAGAACTGTTTCATCTCTCCCAGTCACTGCCAGTAAATGTGCTCGCATGAGACTACAGTATTCAGAAAAGCCAGCGGCACGAGGCAAGTGCTACGCTTCAAAAGCAACTTCTCTCAATCGCACAAACGTAGCTGTCGTCGTAGTCTATTTTAGAGGACTGACATAAATTGCAACGCACTAATGTACAAAACGGTTGAACGACAATACCTTCCAGTTCTCTTCACAGTTAATGACTATCTCACTCAGTTTATTGCAAAAAACACCCACCACGCGAGCAGACAACGACAAGTGCAGTGACGATAAGAGGTCTGAAAAGCCATTTCCTCCATTAAAGTGGTCTTCGGGTCGGTCTGCCGACTGTAACAACCCGTCGCATTATGCATAGCCCATCGACCCCAGGTGTTCTTTGCCGGCATCTCGACATCACGGAGGCAAGAAAAAACTCTCAATGTGCAGCGGTCTTTGGAGAAACTGGCTATATTTTCCATCTTCGAGGAGATACCATCATAGGTCGAGACAATTTTAAGGCAGAACGTTTAAAACGTTGGGCGTGGTGCTCAGTTGGCAACTCCGCCAATATGCACCAGGGCCTTTTCCGCAGCTTACGAAGTCCTGTACCATTGCGTTTACAAAGTTCACGATGAGAGGACTACACATAACTTATGAAGGTCGCGCAGACAGTCCGAAGACAAGCTCCCTCGAGGAGAAGGAAATAAAGCTGCCAGACTGACCAACCGCGACGGTGTCTAAACCACCTCCCCCGCTCTTCGCCGGGAAGATGACATTTGCTTCCCTGTACTACCTTGAAGTACTGCTTAAATGTCTACAGTGGTTGGCTGTCTTGCGTACTCCATGCGTAA